TCGGTAATTAGTTTCACAGCAGATGGAATACTGGAGTGCGATAATCCATGAAGGTGATCAAAGATCGCTCGCCGGTAGGACTGTGGCACAAACGGTCTAGGTGTACCGGTGAAAATATGGCAGTAGGTTCGTGCGTCAGCATTGAGCACGGGCAATTGCAAGAGTTTCAACGAATGTTCGATCGAAGCTGTGTTAATGCTGGGGCACTGGTTTGGGCAAGAGACGTTTGCTCTAGATCGATGAGCGAGCGTGAAAACTGTTACATGTGATCACGGGATAATGCGTCGGCAACAAGGTTGTTAGAACCGTCAACGTAGCGAATATCAGCACACCATTAGGAAAGATAAGCAAGGTGTCGAGTCTCTCTAGGGTAGTAACGGTCGGAAGTTGCACGAAAGACATACACAAGGGCTTATGATCTGTCAAGCTGACAAAACGTCGACCCACAAGAATGTGACGATAATGCTTTACAGCCAGGTACATGGCAAGGAGCTCTCGACCGAACGTACTGTACGTGGTCTGGGCAGGTTGAAGCTTCCGTGAAAAGAAAGACAAGGGTTGAATTCCGTTACCCGAGAGCTGCCGCAATACGGCACCAAAGGCGGATTGGGAAGCGTCTGTCTTGAGAATGAGAGTGACATTGTCATCCGTTCTCAAGTGAGCGAATGAAGTAGCTTGGCTCAGCTTTAGCTTGACGGTGTTAAAGGCTGCTTCGGCATCTGGAGTGAAAGTGAACTTTGGGGAGTACCTTTGAGCAATCCTCCTAAAGTTTGAAGGATCGCAGCAAGGCCAAGTAAAAACCGTCGCAGTAGTTAACCATGCCCAGCAAACGGGGTAGGTTTTTAACGGATTGTGGCAATGGATAATCCAGTATGGATTGCGTTTTATCAGTCAAGGGGCTAATCCCGTTGGCTTCAATTGTGGCTTAGAAAGGCGATGGAAGTTTGGTGAAATACGCGTTTTTCAAGGTTAATGGTGATACCATGGTGTTCGAAGCGTTCGAAAACTTTTCGTAGATGTGTTAAGTGGTCGTCGGAAGAAGCACTTGCATCCGAAACATCATCAATGCAAACAAAGACAAAGTCAAGCCCAAGGAGAAATTGGTCCATGAAGCGTTGGAAAGATTGCGCAGCATTTCGGAGACCGAATGGCATACGGTGAAGCTCATACAAGCTAAAAGGAGCGGTCACTGCTGTTTCTGTAATATCTTCCAGGGCCATGGGAATTTGGTGATAGGCCATGACAAAGTCAATCTTAGAAAAGATGGATTTCTCGGGCAATCCTAATGAAAAATCATGAATATGAGGGATATGGTATCTGTCGGGGATGGTGACGGATGTACGGATGTGTACCGTAAGCGATAGGTGCTAACGTTCCAGCTCACCCAAAACAACGCATGCAACCGGTGTCTTTTCAAAAGGCACCCCCTAAGCCAGCGACTTACTGAGGAGGAATGCAATCAAGCTGCTGACTTATTTCGATACATTACTCCTACGTGCGACGTAAAGCAATACATCGAGAATGCATTCAGGAAACACGTCACCAGGGACGAGGTCTGTAATATACGCCGCAGGGTGCGTTCGCCCGTGTCATGTAGGTGAAATGTCACGTTATTGTTGCCAGTCAATTTGCGGCAGGCCCTACGGCGTATGAAACAGGATGGTTTCCTGAAAACTATTTCTGAATAACGCTTACTTACGCATGTGCGCTTTGCTCGTAATCAGCATGTTCAAATATTCGGCGATTTCCACACGTTGTGTGCGTGGATGCAACGCATGGTACAAACCGCTTGGGTACGTATGACGTTCGTCGTTAAATTTCGCTGCAATTTCAATTAGTACCAGTGCTTGGTAACAGACGGCATTGGTTACGGACGACCAGCTTTTATGGGTTTGTGCTTAAGGAAACATTCACCTCTTCAGTGAAATTATTTGGTATATTTCGTGATGCAATGGGCCATGACTTCTCCGTACGAACATTCGTTATGGATAAAATGGCTGCTCAAATGCGCGTAGCACAAGCAGTATTCCAGTGTGACATTCTGCTGTGCCGCTTTCATATCCGCGAAGCTGTTCGAAAGCACGTGAGTTAAGCGAATTGTTTTATTCAGTTCTAGGCTAATAGCTTCCGCTCAAGTTATTTAATTCTCCGGATGGCTATAATGGATACGGCGACCGAGTACTCTATTTTTACGACATTCACACTGTTCTAGGTTCCAGCAGGATCTTCGCCTACTTCAGAAGATGGGTCCCCAATTTGTACGGTATATAACATCCCGCTGGATGTTCATCAGGCGGTCGTCTGCGAACTACGCTCAAACGGGATTGGTGCATTTTGGGAACATCACGAACAACCGTGTCGTGAATGCCAATCTTAGGTTGAAGAAAATAACCCATGCTTCCGACCGCCTTGCGGTGGCTGTGAGTAAAGTGTGGAAGCGGTCTGAGGTTCTACTGAAAGAAGTTCAGATGCAATGTACATACTTCTGTGACATACAAGAGGTATTTGAAGATGAAGGTAACGCCTACGTGCAGATGCTGATAGGCGGTCTAACAACGTATGCTGGCACTCTGGTTACGCATCATCTGGCAACACCGAAGTTCGGTGCGGTGTACTCAGATATTGGAGCGGGACTGGTATACCTTCTTGTATGTTTCTACTTCCACAGTTTGTTGTTCAAGATCAACACCATCGATATGACATCGACTGCGCAAGTGGCACGTGCACGCGCATTTTACGGGCACATGTGGCTACCGTGCGTCCATTTACTGGTGTTATACAAGGAGAATCAACATCCCGCGGGTAAAACACCGAATTTTTACATTTCCTTTTTAGAAAACATACCTATCCGTAGTCGATGGTTAGCAAATTCCAACCTGCCGGAGGATTCCTTGTTGCTTCGGACTCTGAAGGAAGCCACCTCAAGGCAGCCCAATTCCAACGTAGCAAAACTGCTTGCTCGGCTTGAATGCCTGGAAGACGTGAACCCCAGTGCGGCATCCGGGTTCATCCATAGCCTTATTAAACAAACAGCTGAGCTTATAGACGTAGCACCAAGTGCGCCCGTCGTAAGTGCTAACCCACATTGCCAACCATCGCATAAGCAACGGCGGTGGCACAAAGCCGGTACGTTGACTATATTTTACTTCGATTGCAGTGAACCTGTTTTACGTACGGGTGTTCATTGCGTGCACAACCGGCTACGGTACGACCGTAAATGCTTGGTGGAGAACCAAACCGACGGTTTCAAAGTTTGCTCCAGTGACATAGCATCAGTTACATTTCCCAAAAGGCCGTCCCATAGCAGTAACATACGTGAGTTGGAGCCAAGTACTTTATTTTCAGCTTCGCTCCGTACACCATCTCCTAATATAACGATATAATCTACCCCATCTACTTCCCCGGCGTACGAAGGCAAGCGCTTTTAAATAGCTTTTCACCTCAGCTCAGACACTTCGGATGTTTGTGACGCGGTACCCTGTTGCAGCTATGCATATGTGTCACGGAGTACGGACAACGCACCCGCTATGCCTATGCGCTTACAAAATTGAACGAACACCTCGGCGGAGCTGCAAGCTATCTGCAAAACTGCTTTTGAGTATGTCACAATATATTGTTACCTGCATCCTCCTCAGTGTAGATCTGGATTCCACTGCGAATGAACCGTTTACTGGAAAGACAACCGTTTTAAGGAGCACTTTCAGGACCTGCTTTCCAGACAGTATGTCCTGTGCCCTTGTCATTAAACCACTGCAACCGATGATTACAACTTTGCCTAACTGCATATTGGCCAGCCTGTAAGAACGCAAACTTGGCCCTTTATAGGTCCACCGCCTGTTTCGTTTCCGTGTGCTTCCCACTTGCCAACCCGACACAACTGCTCGGTTGACGGAATTGATTGGAACATTCGGCAAATGAGTCGGACGGTGGCTCTGTAATCCTCGCAGGAATGGCCCAATGTCTGTTTAACCGGGCCTCAAAGCCCATGCATTCCTTGTTCACCATGCTTTTCTTTAGGTACATTACTTTTGTTCCACTCTTTAGTGATCCGCTGTGTTGACGTGACGCAAATGACGTGTCCGACACATTTGCGTCAGCAGGTTGGAAGGGTCTGAACGACGACGTTCCCGGAAATGTTATCTGTGACCATACGTTGCTTGACAATTATGTTATCATATGCGTGTAACCATCTCCGCATCGTCCCAGTGCTGTTAAACAGCTAGCTATGGATGCCTCCTGATGGGCATTTTTGTGCTCTCGCAATGAGCTTTTGGCCCCTCTGTCTGGACGGGTACACGAAGCCTCTGGTGCCATGTACAGATGAGCAGTGCTTAGCATTACTAGTAACAGTAATATGTTACCTCTACTCTACAGCACCACCGTTGCACGACGCCTGTGGTGCTATGTGCGGATGCTCCGTGACCGATAAATACATGCACCTGCACAAGGTGCATTTGCTCATCTGAGTGCATGTTTCATTTCTGTACCTTCGATTTCTCTTCCTATCCTTTGCTTACTTCACGTGACTGCCACAGCAGGGACTGCTAGGCAGGAAACGTGGGCATTAACTGGTTGGCCAGGGTGCGATACGGGTGTTCCGTTTTAGATCCATCCATAACTGAGTACTCTATCAATTCCTAGCTCAATGATCCACTTAAGATGGAACACTTACGGGATTCTCCTATCGTTCCAGTCCTATCTGAACTGAACTAAACTGATACATGTATTTGGTTGATCGGAACTTCAGGGAGATTAAAACCATCGATTCATCACAGTCCCAGAAGATTCAGGTTATTGTGCGCCGTGATGCAGATCTTTCCCCATGCAGTGAAGTCGGTAGAATGGCATACAAATGCGATTTAGACAAGCGGTTTCCATCCAGTACCTGATATGCTCTTCTCTTGCCGATTGATTGTTTTGATACTATATTGATCGAAAATCCTTCACAACCTATCCGGTGTGACTTTATTATCCAAGACTGTATCGATTTCCAGGGGCGTCTGCCCTGCTGATTTTGATAGTGCTTTATTTTCTCCGATCTCTAACACTGTAGCTAAAATCGGCATTCACTCTTCGCTAAATGGCCGTTAGTTTTCTTTCGAGTATCGTGTCTTGGATCGTGCCTTGGATCTGCCCTGGGTCTTCTTGTACTCATGCGGTACTGACAGGTGCTTGCTGAACGCACACTTCGCAAAATGCCAGTCTGCGCATTACACAAGGCTGATAGTAAGTTACCTTCAGAAAGTTTCTTGCTATTGGTGGCCATAACCTTGCTTTAAGAAATCTACTGAACTTCGTAATCAATGGAATCTCTCTAGTTCATGGTTTTTCAAGTTCATGACCATCTGGGCCTCTGCGATGACAGTTTGGAGTGGGATTTCCGGGTCTCATTACATAAGCCCGAATATTCTGTTTTCCATCTCGGTATCTTTGAAAGTTTGCAAGCTGCACAACACTATCCGTTATTCAACTTAATCTTTAGTCACTGACTGACTGCTGAACTGACTTTGAGCTTTCGGCACTCTCGCTTTGTTGTTCCTGCATTGCCAATGAAACTGTCACTGTGCCTTTGCATAGCTTCATCTGATTGGATCGATTGTTGAAAAGCGGTGCATGATAGCCCAAAACTTTTCTGAATTTGAATATTTTCCATCGGAGTCGCAGTTTTCTACTTTCTTGGTAAAAACACCAGGAGAGACATGCTGACGTCTGCTAGTTGGTTTTTAGCAAGAAGCCTTCTGATGTCTCTCTCGCTTGTTTGCTAAATCTTAGTCGCTTGCGTTGGCTAGGTCATGTCCTCCGTATGCTCGTTGATCGGCTTCCTCGCCATGGCCGCACTAAGTTGGGTCAAACCTCGAGGCGGCCAGTCCATGACATGGCATAGAAGCCTACAGAGATTGACTGCTTGATTTGGTCAGAGTGGTGCGTGCTGTGTTCGTCGATAGGGGCCTCGGGACGGTCCACAACAATGGTTGAAGTGTCAGAAATGGCGCAGTCACGAAGTCAGTAGCATTTCAGCATTCGGCTTCTTTCATCTGATTGTTACTTTTCGTTCCATTCTGACCAGTCTAACGCATTTCCTTCTTGCTTTCATTTTATCTGCACTATTTGCACCCAACCCTACTTCCCTACCGTTGTTATTTATCCTTATTCCTACGATGGTCGTGGCAACTGGGTCCAACGCACTTCGGTGATCCACTGAGCTGATGTATCTGTCGTGCTGAACACTTGCAATTTCCTGAAAAGACAGTCAACAAGATTTATCGACTTTGTCTTGAAAATACCATTGTAACGCCTTAGCCCTGCATCCAGACCGAAAACGAACTCAATGGCACTGCTGATCACAACATCAACTGAAGATTCCTCAATGTTTTGGACAGCTGTATATATAGGCTGGCGGGATAGCCTATAGTGCGCTGAGGCTGGTAGTGGCTAGATCCTGACAGATGGTCTACCCACTGCTGCTACTGTTGTGCCGTTGGCTCATGTCCTGGACGCCTCCTCATGACAACCGCTGGATGGGAGTTGGGTTACGCCCTTCTCCCTGCTAAGGTCCAGGACACCAATCCGCATGAGTCAGTGAACTGACCATGTGCTAGACCTGCTGCCTTTCGGATGTACATTTAATCGAAGACTTTGGCTGAGCACCCGGGTCGTTCTCCTGTCAGGTGTGGGCTCCCTGTCAGTATCCTAGTCCATCCTCTTCGGAGGTTAGAAAGTGGTTGATGGCCCTCTTCCCGTAAAACCTAGCCATGGGAGACAGGTCTACGGGTTATAAGGTCACAGTACGATTGGCGTAGAGCACGAGCGCCACGCATTGTCTCTGACGGTGGGAGGGCACCTCCGGGTGTTCATTGGTTTGCTACTGTCCGTCTCAAGCCGGGTAGCCCCTGGTTAAATTGGTGCAAACCCTCCAAAACCCACCTGCGTCTGGCCGTGGTCGCAAGTGTGTATCCTACTACGGTCGCAAAACATATGAATTGTTCCATTACCTCAAAGGCTGCATGTGACAGCTGTCAAGCAGATCCCAATCTGTCACTGCAATCACATTCCCTAGCTGGATCTGCTCCCCACTGCCTTGTGGGTCAGGCTATTGAGCCAGAGGCTCCAGGTGGACTCCCTCAAGCAAACCTCCGAAGCACGACGACGACCTCGCGTGCGATTGCCCACCAATGCAATCGCATACCTGCGCGCAAAATACTCAGCATCCGGTGCTGGAACGTGTGCACACTACTGGACCGGAACTCGAGTAATCGCCCCGAGCGACGCACCACACTGGTCGTGATGGAACTGATGCGCTACCACATCGATATTGCGGCGCTCAGTGAGATGCGGCCACAGGGCCGGGGGCTTGTAACACTTCATGTGGCGGGGCTTCTGCTCGAGTTCCTGGTAAGAGGGGGATCTGTAGGGGTAGAACACTCGGCCCCAGCGCGAGTGCCAGAGGTAGCAGATGGAGCTGGGGGCCAACAAAACTGCGAGCCAAAGTGTTCGGCCCATCGCTCCAACCGTCGTTGAAGATCGGTGATTAAGGTGCCATCCTCTTCGCATATTCTTTCACTTTTACCAGATCGAACACCGGTGAATCGAATGCGATGGAAATGTTTTCTGATATTACTTGATAGACGAGCAAACTCCATCTCCCTAGCACGTTCACACTACCAAGCTTCGCGGTCTATTTGCAGACTCCTGCGCAACTCTCGACCAAGGCATTGGCGTTCTTCACTGTGTCTAAAGAATCCGACGGGATCAAGCGGCGTTTGTCCATCAGCGACAAGGAGACGGCGGAAATCCAATGCTTCCGTGGGTAACGAGCAACTCCACATGTGTCGATACTTGCGGAAACTACGGTATCTTTGATCTGCGCTCACTGCGAATCGAGGTCACCGCCAATAGTTGAGCCAGGCAAGGTTAACAGTGAGGCCTGGTACCTGGTTAAAAATCGCAGGGTTTTGTAGATTTGCGACGTCCGGTCGGTAGTGAGCGCGCTTGGGTGATCCTCCGAAACACATGCAAATCTTAGCACGAACCAGTGCGTGATCGGAGTCTAGATAAGTTGACCAGTACGATCGGCAGTCCGTTACGCTTCCGCGCCATCTGTAGTTGGTTGCTGTGTGGTCAAGCTTGGAGCACTCTTGTGTTTGTGAGGGCGGACGCCAGGTGGCAGTGTGTCTCCTCGAGTGCCGAAAACTAGTGCTCGAAAGAAACAAGCGATGATCAGAGCAAAGAGCAAGTAGTCTGTCTCCATTGTCTGATCGACTGCCACCGAGACCAAAACTACCCCCAAGGTGGTGCTTGCTTGGTGGAAGGCGGTAAACCCGTGCATTAAAGTCTCCGGCAAGAATGACTATATCAGTCCTTTTGGAGGAACGCAGAAGTTCAAGTAGCTGTTGGTAAAAGCTATCCTTGACTGCATCCGGTCTGCAGTCTAGGGGCTTATGCGGAGACGACAAACAAAGCACGCTTAACCTCGATGCCTGCTTACATTACATGAACCTCCTAGTCTGACTGCACATAGCCGACTGTTGACTGGGATCCAGTCAAGCAGAGCTGATTCAGCCCTGGCACTCAGTACAATCCCAACATCAGCTTTGCCAGAGGCGGCAGCTTCTAGGTCTCCGGAAAGCTGCAAGTGGTATTTGGCGTCAGGATTTACCGGAGAGGCCATTCTGATGACGGCGCTAGAGTATTGTAATCTGGTCTCTGAAAGGCAACAGATATCTACAGAAAGCGTTCCAAGAGTACAGGCCAGACATGCTTGTCGTCCGATCTGCATCAAAGTTCGAACGTTAAACGCTGCGAGAATGAATGGAGAACCAGGTCGAAGAAGAGTTGGAGTTTCGGTGGAGTGAGAGGCGGTTGCACTCGCAGGACATTGAAAACCGGGTGTTTGGCTGTTACTTCCATCACTTACGAGACGTGGGTCGTTTGTGACGGTGACCGAAGAAGTACATATAGGTGAAGGACGGGAGGGGGTGAGCTGTGAATAGAGGTTGAGCAGTTGAGTTAGTGTGGAAGATAGGCATAACAGGAGCAGTAGTAAGCAATGTGGTCCCTCTGTAGGCGCATGCGTCCTGTGGCTGGCCACAGTGACAGGCAAATCAGAAACCGCATGCCACCAACCATAGGCAGCAGTGCATTAAATAGACGTAGAGCCAAACAAAACCATGGAAATCACTGGAAGAAGACAGCTTTAACACTATATCATCATCATGGCACATTAACTGAAGGTGAGCAACACACTTCAGCTATCGTGCTGCAATAAACGTCAAAAATGGAGCATTTTTGTTATTTTGCATGTGACATTTTTATTTTTTTGTCGTTCTTAATCATTAAACGTCCAAATCTAAACAATTATGTACACAGATTCTCCACTGGTTTCAATTACGAGCCATATCCTGAATTGTTTCTAGCCATCGGCACTCATCCTTTGATCCCCAACCAGGCAGACGTGTGCATCCAATCGTGGCAAGACGTAAAGTCATCGATTACATTTGCTGTCGCCAGGTGGATGGTGCACCACCACGTGGTCTCTTCCACTTGTTTCCTGCACGAGCAAACAAAGTGCCGTAGAGCAAACGCTCAGCTGACACGCAGGAAGTGACCGAGCCATCTTAACTGGCGCAGCCAAACAGCTTGTTGAAGGGAATACTCGCATTCCCTAAGACACGATGTCTGACTTCATCGTTACAGATGTGTTGTTGCAACCACACACGAACAATCCTCCTAAAGCACCCGTGGTCGAAGGCCGAGAGCCAGCGCATATCGTCTACGCGACCTGGTCATAACTCGCTTCCATATAGCAACACCGCCCGAACGATGTCATTGTATACACGACCCTTTACCGTGAGGGAAACATCCCGACGACGCGACAAGTGCTGCAGGTTGACAAACGCTGACCGAGCTTTGGCGATCTGAAAAGAAAGTTCCCTTCTAAAGGTACCAACAGCAGACACAACTGCCCAGGTAGACTAAGGTATCTACATGTTCTGTCTGTGTCCCTGCAATATTTATCACGGGAACCGTTGTGTGCCATTTCTGAAGCAGCACTTTACACTTTGACGGGGCAAAACACATTCTGTACCTAGGTGTCTCAATCGTCATACGGTCTATAGTAGTTTGCCTGCTGTGCGAGCCGTCACTAAGAAAGCGATATCATCGGCATAATTTAAGTCGGTCGTTCGCTTACCCGGTAGTAGCTGTCGATCAAAATTTTGGAAGCCGTC